TTCTTGTTACTACTAGTAAGGCCCTTGTTACTAGTAGCGATGCACTTGTTCCTAGTAGCTTCTTGTTACTACTAGTAAGGCACTTGTTACTAGTAGCGATGCACTTGTTACTAGTAGCTTCTTGTTACTACTAGACAACACAAAATAGAAGCTCGTTTCATAAGCACAAATCTAATCAATTACTCTTGCCACTATTCTTGCCCTTTGTTTGGGTCTTGACCTGTCATCCCTTTTCTGCCTCTGGGCGCAAATGATGTGTCAAATGCTTAGACTCTTCGCGCTTAGGTTGGAGGCCATTGCTATTAGGTTGGAATATGCTTAGACCCTTCGCTCAGTCCAGTCTCCAGCGCCAGCATGACTCAACAAACAGAGCTGCCCAGTGCAGCGAGTGACTTCCACACCAAGACGCGCTGCGCAGTGCAATCGCTGCCTTCCCGGTCATAGTCCAATCTGAGTCAGAGCAACTCCGACGAGAGAGCTCGTTGAAGACAAGAAATTCCACTGGTGTATATCAGTAACGGCTTCCAACATTATAGCGATGGCCTCCAACCTATATAGTATGTTGCATTCTGGTAGGAAAGCATGCCTGTTATCAAAAAACAGGCTAAAGAGTCTGGCAAAAAGATCCTGGCTCCTGAATACATTACCCGAAAAACTCTGCTCTTGGAACAAGAAAGCTCCACCATAAAAATTGCCGTGGGCTGAGATCTAGATTTTTCGTACGGATTCACATGGGCCCACAATTCACAATTGGCCACTTCGCCGGATGCCATGTCTTTCAAGAACCTAAAGATCCAAAATTCAAGACAAGAACATATTAAAGACATTGTAGAAATATTAAAAAGTTACGTCTAAAAAAATAACGAAATAGAGATTAATGTGATCAAAACGATTTGCCTGGCCTTCCCGGCCGTCGACGAGGCCTTCCGCTCCCAGACTCGAGACTAGCAGTGCTGGAGGTGCCTGCACGACCGAGCAGATGTGGCTTGCCCCCAAAAATACTAGTAGTAACAAGAAGCTACTAGCAGCTAGTAACAAGAAGCTACTAGTAGCCTCCAAAAATTACCAAGATGTTTCCCGCCTGAGGGTGGGGAGCTTCAGTGAAGAAGCGCTCGCACTAAGGATTTGGTTCCTAGATATTTAGGAAACTAGAAACATATTTGAAATGACATGAAATGACCTTAGGGGGCCTTGAGGTTCGTAGAATAAAAGAAAAGGAAAAATAACAAAAAAAGAGGTCTGAAGGTCCAAAGAAAAGAAAACACATACCATTAAGAATAGAATAGAAAAGGCGAAGAAACAATTTAAGGACATGTCCAAAGGTCAAAAGGAAAAAGAACGATGCAAATGTCTGGAGGTCAAAAGAAGAAACAAAAGCAAAGGAAGAATGCAGGTCCAAAGAAAACACAAAACAAAGGAGGTCTGAAGGTGCAAGAAGATAAACAAAACATCTGAAGGATCCCCTGGCTGTGCCTGGTGTGTGCTCATGTAGGTCTTTCCTTGCCTTGGCGCAAAGCGGTGCATAGTGGAGCTGAAAGCGCTCAATACTACCCTCGAGGGAAACAATCCCTTGCATTTGCCGAGGCGATAGCATGAGCGAACATTTCCGCGAGCATCTTGCACCTACAAAGGGCAGCATTTCTGGTTTTGACCTCTGAATTATTGTCATTCTTGTGCGTGCTATTAAGTTGGAGGCCATCGCTGTTAGGTTGGAGGCCATCGATAATGCAATTTGCGTGTAAAAGTATAAACATGCATTTGTTCTGATGAGCCTCGCTGCCCTGCAGCTGCACAGGTTGAGCGTCCAAACCAAATCCAGCCTTTGCTAGCTGTGCTGCTCTGATGCTGTGGGCTAGAGGTGGATCTGGCCTCTGTGAAGAATTGACCGCGTCTACTTAGCAGAACAGGATTGCTTCAGGTTCCGAACTTGTGGGATTAATGCATTCTTTGAGCCGAAAGTGCATGCCGATATCGGTCTCTCAACGCAATTCAAACTCATATTGATTCACGAGTCGAAAGCCACGACGTGGCAAACGGGAGCAGCACAAGCAGTGCAACAAGCGGTGCAACAAGCGGTGCCACTTCTTCCGCAGCTCTCTGTCTCAGTCGACCTCTATAGCCTACGACGCTACGGTTGGGAGGCTTCGATCGTTCGATCACGCGCCGCCTCAGCTCTTGGCTTCCAAACGAGTGCAGGTGAGAAAAAAGAAAAACCGTACGATTTGTGCTCTTTATGTCTTCTTTTCATTATTTTTCTGCTTGTCTTTCGACCTTGAAATTCTATCAACTCTCGTTTTAATTCCTGTGCAAAGCCTGACTGTGGCTGGGCCCCTGGAGCCTGAAGGTACTCAAAGCACTGAAAGCGCTCAGTGCTTCTTCTCTTTCTTGGCCTTTCAGTGGCCAAATGAGGCGGCTCAAAGCAAAAAGATTGTTGACTCTAACAGGTTGGAGGCCATCGCTAGTAGGTTGGAGCTCCAAGCATTGTGAATTTGTCCACTGCTGGGCTGCACTGGGTGGCTGCAGGTTGCTGCATGGCTTGTCAGGCCTTCTTCTCCTTTCGCTCTGACTTTGCCTCTTGAGCCTCTTGGCTATCCTCTTCCTTGGGAACCGTTTCACTGGGAATCGTGCCACCTGTAGCAACAAGAAGCTTTTAGTATGTCTTTGAAGCTACCAGTAACACGAAGCCACTAGGTGGAGGCCATCGCTTTTCTGTCCTTCTTCTCGTGCCATCGCTACTAATAACAAGAAGCTATACTATTTATATAATCCTCTTTGTCCTTCTTCTTCTCTTTACTTTTTACTTTTTTCTCTTTCTCCTGCTGCGCACAACGTCACCCAACAGAGGTGGCTCAAAAGCAAGCACCGCCGGGTCGGCTTTTGCTTTTTCTTTCTTTTCCTCGCAGAAGGAGAGCAACCAATGAGCAACAAAAACTGATCCTTCTAAAGCGCTGGTGCCTTCTTTTCCTTCTCCTTCTCCTTTTTCTCCTTCTCTTTCTTCTCCTTCTTATCCTTTTTTTCCTTCTTGTCCTTCTTGCTTTTCTCCTTTGCCCAGTAGCACGCACCGGAAGAAAATGTGGCACCTACAAAAACGTCCCAGCCTTCTTCCCTCGACTTCGACTTCTGCTGCTGTGACCTCATTCGGCAAACACCGACTTTGCACCAAGACCTGGAACGGTTGACCTGGGTTGAAGCTCTAGTAACAAGGTTCGCTAGTAGAAACAAGTGCCACGCTAGTAGTAACAGGTGCCTTACTAGTAGTAACAAGAAGCTAGTAGAAACAGTTTAAAGACGAAACGTGCGAGGCCGTTTGTTCAAATGAAGCGAGTGGCCGCTACGCCGGCTGCGGCTGCGGCTGTCGCGGCCTGCGTAGAGAGGACTGCCATGAGAATGAAATTTAAAGCTCAAGCCCCTGCTGCTAGGCTGGCCGAATTAACTTAACAACCTCTCACGGCCTCCAACCTACTAGCGATGGCCTCCAACCTCAGACCGATGGCCTCCAACCCAATTACTAGCGATGAAGAACGATTTATATTTTAAAAAATCCACACTACGGCACCGCGAGTCGCTCCAAGCCCCATGCTGCGGCTATAGCTGTAGCTGTATTCGCTGCGTGGCCTTGGCCGCTTCGCATTCGCTTCGCTCGACTCGTCGAATCGTCACTCGAGCCATTTGGACCCCTCGCTGGCCGTTCGGTGGTGCAGCAGGTGGCCCGCCACCTCGGCACTCATCTGCGAAACTGTGGCAATCTGCATGTAACTGTTACTACTAGTAACGAGTGCATCGCTACTAGTAACAAGTGCCTTACTAGTATTAACAAGAAGCGATTAATTTAATTTATATTTAATCTTTTTTCTTGTTTCTAATAGCTTCTTGTTACTACTAGTAAGGCACCTGCTACTACTAGCGTGGCACTTGTTACTACCAACTTCTTGTTACTACTAGTAAGGCACTTGTTACTAGTAGCGATGCACTTGTTCCTAGTAGCTTCTTGTTGCTACTAGTAAGGCACCTGTTACTACTAGCGTGGCACTTGTTACTACCAACTTCTTGTTACTACTAGTAAGGCACCTGTTACTACTAGCGTGGCACTTGTTACTACCAACTTCTTGTTACTACTAGTAAGGCACTTGTTACTAGTAGCGATGCACTTGTTCCTAGTAGCTTCTTGTTGCTACTAGTAAGGCACCTGTTACTACTAGCGTGGCACTTGTTACTAACAACTTCTTGTTACTACTAGTAAGGCACCTGTTACTACTAGCGTGGCACTTGTTACTACCAACTTCTTGTTACTACTAGTAAGGCACCTGTTACTACTAGCGTGGCACT